GAGCTGAGAGCGGACCCCAGAGAGCCCTGCAGCTCCGCCGCCGCCGCTGGCCTAGTTGCGGTCACGCCCCGGCTGAGCTGCAGCTGCGGGGCCAGCCGCAGTCACCATCACTGCAACCATGAGCAGCAAGGCCGAGACCCAGCAGCTGCCCAACGCCTCGGCCCTCAGCGCTGCCTACACCGATCCCGGCCCCACCGGCAGCGTAGGGAGCGGCGGCCCCGGGCGGCCTCACATCCGCGGCGCCCGCCGTCAGGGACAAGGTGGTGATTTCAGTGAAGGTTTCAGGAACAGTAAAATGGTTCAATGTAAGAAACATATAAGGTTTCATTAACAGGAATGCCACCCAGGAAGATGTATTTGTACACCAGACTGCCATAAACAATAACCCCAGGGTGCCTGGGTGGCTCAGTTGGTTGAGCATCTGCCTTGGGCTCAGGTCATGGTCCCAGGGTCCTGGGATCGAGTCCCACGTCAAGTTCTCTGCTCATCGGGGAGCCTGCTTCTCCTTCTCCCTCTGCCTGCCTCTCTGCCTACTTGTTTTCTCTCTCTCTCCCCCACTCTGTCAAATAAATAAATAAATAAAATATTTAAAAAAGAGTAACCCCAGGAAGTACCTGCCCCAGGAAGATGGAGAGACTGTGGAGTTTGATGATGTTGAAGGAGCAAAGGGTGCCGAGCCAGCAAATGTGACAGGCCCTGGTGGAGTTCCAGTGCAAGGCAGTAAATATGCAGCAGACTGGAACCATTACAGATGCTGTCCACGTGGCAGAGGTCCTGCACGCAATTCCCAGCAGAATTACCAGAATAGTGAGAGTGGGGAAAAGAACGAGGATAGGAAAAGGCTCCTGAAGGCCAGGCCCAACAGCACTGGCGCTCCCGCGGGCGTCGCTTCCCACCTTACTACATGCAGAGACCCTATGGGCATCGACCACAATATTCCAACCCTCCTGTGCAGGGAGAAGTGATGGAAAGTGCTGACAACCAGGGTGCAGGAGAACAAGGTAGACCAGTGAGACAGAATAGGTATCGGGGTTATAGACCATGATTCTGCAGGGATCCTCCTCGACAAAGACAGCCTAGAGAGGATGGCAATGCAGAAGATAAGGAAAATCAAGGAGATGAGACCCAAGGACAGCAGCCACCCACCGTTGGTACCACTGCAACTTCAATTACCGATGCAGACACTCAGAAAACCCTAAACCACAAGATGGCAAAGAGACAAAAGCAGCAGATCCATCAGCTGAGAATTCATCTGCTCCTGAGGCTGAGCAAATGCCTGCTTACCATCTCTACCATCATCTAGTTTAATCATCCAACACGAAGAAATGAAGATGAAATTCCAGCAATAAGAAATGAACAAAAAAGATTGGAGCTAAAGACCTAAAGTGCTTGCTTTTTGCCCATTGACCAGATAAATAGAACTATCTGCAGCATGGGTTGTTTTTTTTTTTCTTATGTAGTTGCATTTTAATGAGAATAGACAGGCAATGATGTAATACATAAGGTAGTAAATTATGTGATTATGACTACTGTTGCAAAAAGAGAAAAAAGGAAAAAAGAAAAGGGTGAGGGTTCTAGAATATTAGGGGGGAGTTACCTTTTTCTCTTTAAATTTTTGTTATGTTAATCACCATACATTACATCATTAGTTTTTTTTTTAAACTTTTTATTTATTTATTCATGAGAGACAGAGAGAGAGAGAGAGAGAGGCAGAGGGAGAAGCAGGCTCCCAAGGAGCAGGGAGCCCGATGCGGGACTCGATCCCAGGACCCTGTGATCATGACCTGAGCCGAAGGCAGACGCTTACCCATCTGAGCCACCCAGGCGCCCACATCATTAGTGTTTGATGTAGTGTTCCATGATTCATTGTTTGTGCATAATACCCAGTGCTCCACGCAGAACGTGCCCTCTTTAATACCCATCACCAGGCTAAACCATCCCCCCACCCCCCTCCCCTCTAGAACCCTCAGTTTGTTTTTCA